CCCCCCCCCCCCCCCCCCCCCCCCAAAGAAATGTCCCATCAGCCTCCTGGTTCTCCACCAGGATCCATCTTCAGCCAATCCTCACAAAGAAAGACAAACAAAGACAACAAAAGAGAAACAAATGGACAAAGAACCATAAAAATACTAAATAGTCTGTTGACTTAATATCTGAATTTTGACTTTGCATCTTGTCATTTTTAATAAAAACAAGGAAAATAAAACACACTTGATGATTTAAGATAAAGAAACAGAATACATAACATAAGATGGACAATAAACCCAGTGAATAATAACTGATATTATTAAGATCAGTAATGTATCATAATGTCATCGTCTAAGACGTCGTCTGATTTAACCTCTTTAAGGTGTGACGTTCATTAAAGTCCAGATCTCACTATTGTTCATAAAGGATTCAGCAGAAAGTTCACAGCAGTTATAATTTGTACGCTCATTTTAAAATGGAGTAAAAAAACAAAAAGGAGCAAAAGAGATCTAGAGTGAAGTGAAGGTAGATCCCAGTAATTAAGAATGTAATAAAACATGAAACATTTTCTCTTGTATTTTGTTGCTCCGAGCCGACAAACATTTGCTTTTGTCCGTTATTATTCTGCGTAATATGAAGTCATTTACTGCAGACTTTCTGAGTTGTTGTTCCACCTTGAGGAGCGTTCACGTCAACTTTCCCGTTCTGGAAGTCAGTTTTCTGAACAAACGCCCCAAATGTTAAGAAAACTCCAAATAATATATTTACCCTAAAAACCAAATGATCAGGACTGACCAGGGTGAAGGAGCTGAAGTTGGTTCCTGATGGACACGAGACCTCAGACCTCCCTCCCTTTCTCCATCCATCCATCCCTTCCTCCCTCGCTCCCTCCCTCCTTCCCTTCCTCCCTCCTTCCCTTCCTTCCTCCCTCTCTCCCTCCATCCCTTCCTCCATCCCTTCCTCCCTCCATTCCTCCCTCCCTCCATCCATCCCTTCCTTCCTCCCTCCCTCCTTCCCTTCCTCCCTTCATCCATCCCTCCCTTCCTCCCTCCATCCATCCCTCCCTTCCTCCCTCCCTCCTTCCCTTCCTCCCTCCTTCCCTTCCTCCCTCCATCCATCCCTCCCTCCCTCCCTTCCTCCATGCATCCCTCCCTTCCTCCCTCCCTCCCTCCCTTCCTCCATCCATCCCTCCCTCCCTTCCTCCCTCCATCCCTCCCTCCCTCCCTCCATCCATTCCTCCCTTCCTCCCTCCCTCCCTTGCTCTTCCTCACCATCGACTGTCGAGGACCCTCCAGCCCGTTGAGCTCCATCTCTTCACTCTCTGTCTCAACACTCACACGTTCTATAGATCTATAGAGAACATCTGAAGCTCACATGTCTGTCGTCGTCATATTTTATGAAGTCATCTCCTTAAAGAAAGAAACAGATTTCTGTGTTCTTGTGGTTCTATAAATGTAGTTTAAATGTTTAAATGGATTTATGGATTAAAGCAGAATATGCTGAGATAAAAAACATGTAGTGAGTTTATATAAATGATTCCACTCATCAACGCTCTGGACTTATTAGAGACAATCCTACTAAAGCTGCACAAGAGACAGGAAGTGAACACGGGACACAAGAGGCAGAGAACTTCAAAATAAAACAGGAAACAAACTAAACACAAACCATAACTGTGACAGAAATAATGAGCAGATTGTTCACAATTACATTTTTACCAAAATCTGTTCTTAATACTTTTCACTTCTTAACACAAGCTACTGGCTGGACCTTTGTTTCACTGAGCAACAGAAGCTTTTGTCCTTTCTTTTACTTTGTAGGGATCATTTCTGGGTGATTATTATTATTATTTATCTCCACAATCATCATTTTGTCTTTGTTTTACACTCAATGTTTCGGTTTTAAAGCTTGAATTGAGATTAATTACAAAGGTTCAGATGTTAAACCAGAGCTGAGGAACAAACGACTGTAACGTTTGTATTTGTTGTATTTTTTCCACATGAATTCAAATAAGAAAGCAGTTTGTGGGCGTTTCTTCTGGTTTGTATTTTAACGAACATTCAATGTGCTTGTTAAGATGTTTAAATTTCGGGAACATTGTACAGTGAGTGATCCAGGTTGTTGGTTCACTGACTGTTATTATGGGATGGTCCACCACCAATTGGTTGTTTGGTGTCTCAAGGCTCCACGCAGCGGGACGTCATCGCTGCTGGATGAGACGTAGAGATGAACACTTTGAAGGTTTATTCTGTGATTGTTCTGCTGCTCAACACCTCGAGTGTGTTGAGTGGCTCTGGGTGCAAAGCATTATGGGTAAACGCTGACCCCCCCCCGGCGTGTCCTGTGTTTTGTTGTGATTGCAGAACACGTGACTTCTAACGCCAGCGATAGTGAAAGTAGCTACCGTAAGTGTGACCGTCAACGCTAACAAGCTAACCGCTAAACTTAACGAGCACGAGGCGCCGATTGGCCGATAACAGCATGACATCACAGACGCAGCTGATGGTGCGAGCGTCTGCACTGAAGCTCCTGACTCGGCATGTAGAACTCAAAGAGTGACTTTAGAGTATTATCTAGTCGTTACTAATGGAAGTCCTTCACTCACCAGTAATCCTTTGTGTTGTTAACACTAAACACGTAACATGTGTTTAAAGGGTTACCCTAACCCAACATCTTCTTCAAACGTAACCATAACTCTGATTATTATGACAAACAACGTTATAAACACCTTTCATACTTCGGTCATTGGTCACCAGATGAGGGGATTTTTTTTTGTCCTTAAAGGAACAGTGTGTACAAGAAATGGAATATAATACTAAGTAGGTTTTATTAGTGTATAGTCACCTGAAAATGAGAGCATTTGTATTTTTGTACATAAATACATACAGAGTCACAGAGTCCGCCATGTTCTACAGAGGCCCAGAAGGGACAAACCAAACACTGACTCCAGAGAGAGACGTTCACGTTTTTTGGTTTCGTGGTTTTCCTCCGCGATTAATAAACGGGAGAAGTTTCAGTTGGTTGCAATCTGCAATCTCACCTCTAGATGGCGCCAAACCGTACACACTGCACCTGTAAAACTTGTGACTTTTGACTATTTTTATTTTTTATCTGTAATACGGTAGACACATGTTTTCATCTCTGAGATGTAGTACAGCAAAAAGTAAATATTAATATGTGGTTACTTTCAAACACAGCTCCTTTGTCCTGATTCTGTAAAAGGCTCCTGAACACACCCATCGCCGTCAGCTTTTTATTTAGTGAAAATCAGCAGAAATGAATCTGAATATTCAGATGAGATCAGTGTTTTTGTTTAGAAACACAGCGATGATGTCACACATTGAGTCATTGCTCCTCTTCCTCCTCTCCTTCTTCTTCCTCCTCTTCTTCCTCTTCCTCCTCCTCTTTCTCCTCCTCTCCTAACGTTCTCTCTCTTTGTTGTCAGGTGGGCAGGAGGAGTTGGTTCTTTCCTACGAACCCGTCGCTCAGCAGGAAGGTAGGAGACCAGAACCACCTGAACTCACCTTATTATTGCTATTATTATTAGCATTATTATTATTAGCATTATTATTATTGCTGTTATTATTATTGCTATTATTATTGTTGTTATTATTATTAGCATTATTATTATTATTATTGCTATTATTATTGTTATTATTATTATTAGCATTATTATTATTATTACTGCTATTATTATTAGCATTATTATTGTTATTGTTATTATTATTATTAGCATTATTGCTATTATTATTATTATTGTTGTTGTTATTATTATTCTGAAGACGATTTGTTTTTTGTTTGACGAGATGTTCGTGTTCACAAAGTAAAAACAACAAAACTACTTCATGCATTCAGATTCAAAGTTTTAACTGAATTATGTCCAAAGATACAAATATTCTATATGTAACTCACATGACGTGATCTTGAATTAGTCGTTGAGGGTTTTGCAATCAGAAAATACAGAAAACGGAACATTTTTAAAATTCATACAAAAATTCTTTTTAAAGATTTTTTGCAGATGTTTTAGACCGAGTCCTTAAACAAAGACGTTTATTTTCGTTTGACTTAAAATGTCTTTTTTTTTCACCAGATAATCGTTTTGTCATTTTATTGAAACTTATTTCACATCAGATGAACTCGTATGAAGTGTGTTTTAAGAAGCATATACTTTATTCTGCTCTTTTTTCTTCATGTTTGATGACGTCGTCGACCTCGATGTCGATCAGATTCATAATTTTTTATTATATTCAGATTCCAGCTTTAAACATGTAGATGCAGAGTTCAAACAGGAAGTCTCTGATCACTTCCTGTCTCCGTCCTCTCCGACAGTGAGCTACACCCGTCCCGTCATCGTCCTCGGCCCCATGAAGGACCGGATCAACGACGACCTCATCTCAGAGTTCCCCGACAAATTCGGCTCCTGCGTTCCTCGTAAGTCCTCGTAGATAGGACCCGAGAACCCGTCGACTCGTAGCGGGACGTGTTCAGGTTAACCTCTTCCTCCTCTTCCTCTTCCTCAGATACGACCCGGCCGAAGCGGGACTACGAGGTGGACGCCAGAGACTATCACTTCGTGGTGTCCAGAGAGCAGATGGAGAAGGACATCCAGGACCACAAGTTCATCGAGGCGGGGCAGTACAACAACCACCTGTACGGGACCAGCGTGCAGTCGGTCCGAGAGGTGGCCGAGAAGGTACCGAATCAGACACCCCGTGATCCAGATACCCCGTGATCCAGATACCCCGTGATCCAGATACCCTGTGATCCAGATACCACATAGTTTATTTTATTTTATTTATTTTGCACAATTTAAACAATAAAATAATAATAAACAAACTTAACATAAATAAAATCACAGAGCAGGAAGAGGCAATCACCATGTTTATCTTTTCACGCTCGTATCTTCTGATCTTCATCTGTATTATGAGCTCACGTATGTTTATATATTAACCTTATTTTGTATCCTTTTTATGAAGGAGCTTCAGTCAAACGTTGATGCTCAGATGAACTTCGATAAAACAATAAATCTTTATCGTCAGAGCTCAGCTCACCACGTTAACGTTCTGTTCAACACGCTGAAGCATTTAAACTTTGCTTCTTTACATTTGTTTTCAGCAAATTACAGTTAGTTTTGTGTGATTCATCACAGAAACACTGGATGCTGATGGAAGTGTTTCCTTCTTCTTCTTCTGTGGTTTTCAGGGTAAACACTGTATCCTGGACGTGTCGGGGAACGCCATCAAGAGACTCCAGCTGACTCAGCTTCATCCCATCGCCGTCTTCATCAAACCCAAATCTGTAGAGAACATCATGTGAGTCTCACCTCCACAAGAGATGATTGTTTTAGTTCTTTGCTCCTCCCCCTCCTCTTCCTCCTCCTCTTCCTCTTCCTCCTCCTCCTCCTCCTCCTCCTCCTCCTCAGTGAGCTCTGTGTGACGTTGTTTCTCCTTCAGGGAGATGAACAAGCGTCTTACGGAGGAGCAGGGCAGGAAAACCTTCGACAGAGCCACTAAGCTGGAGCAGGAGTTCACCGAGCATTTCACAGGTGAGCTGGCTCCGCCCCCTTTCTGTTTGGATGGAGGTAAACGGTTTCACGCTTCACAAACAACCTTTATGAGAACAACTCGTGTTCCTGTCTGACAGAACATGCCGGAGACTGTATCTCATGATTACAAGGAAACGCAGATTTCACAAGATCATTTTTATTTGAATGATAGAAAATGTTCTTGTGATTCTCTCACAACTACAAGACAACGCTCCCAATAATGCTGACTCTGCTTCCTGCCTTTCAGCCATCGTTCAGGGCGACACTCTGGAGGAGATCTACGACCAGGTGAAGCAGATCATCGAGGAGCAGTCGGGTCCGTTCATCTGGGTTCAGTCCAAGGAGAAGTTATGAGGATCAAAACTCTGTCCTCTGCTTTTATTTTGAAAGGATCCTCTTCCTGATCAAATGACGCCACACACACCGACCGACCGGAGAGTTTTATTTTGTAGTTGTTTGTTGTTTTGGGCCTGAATAAGACTCATTGTTGGGTTTCCTGACCAGCAGAGTCACGCACACAGGAAGTATGATGACATCACACGCAACACGGTACAGCTCCTTAATGTTTAAGGGAGGAGGAGGAGGAGGAGGAGAGAAGAAGAGGAGAGAGAAGGATTCATCTTTCTGTTTCCATCTGAAGGAAGCAGAGACACAAAACAGAACTTTGCACGTTTGAGCTTCAGCAGCATGTCGGTTAATAACCCGTTTATTTCCCATCAGCCCCTTCAGCCTCTGACCTCACCGCTCTTCTTCTTCTGATCTGAACTTCATCGTTTTCTCTTCTCCTCTTTCTCCCCCCCTCCTCTTCTTTCATCTTCCTCCTCCTCTTCTTCCTCCTCCTCAAGGGCGCTGTGGAGGGTTTTAAAGCGGTGATGAAGAATCTCTCTTCGCTTCATCGAGTGTGATTTTATTCTGCTGAACATTGTGAAACATTTCTTCTGTCCCCGTTTGATGAGGTCAAAGGTCACAGAGTTCACTCTGGAAACATTTCCTCGACTCGTTTCTGTCTTCAAAGGAATCTGAAGCCTCGTGTCCTTCAAAGGAATCTGAAGCC